AGGAAGACTGGATATCCTACTTGGCTTGCGCTTTAGAACGGACAACACTTACAGTATTTTAGGTACTACAGCTTTATGATCAAAAGCCAAGGACCTTCCTAAATCAAATGAATAGTGATCGGAACAAATGAATGAATGAGGTGAAAAGAGATGCTAGCGATTAGAATCAATGATTAACGATAATTTTGTCTACTGTAGGCAAGAACCGCTCTAACAGCGGAATTCTCCGCCTCATCCTCCCTCTGTTGCCCCTCCCCTTTCCAGTCTGACACAGTCCCTACTTCCCCAGTCAGCAAATGTTTCAACCCTTGGATCTCGCCAAATAATATCGAGACTTTATAGTGACAAAAACACTATTTCTCAATAACCTAGACAATCACCATGGAACTCAGTTTAGTGCAAGCAGTCTACTCTTATCACTTCTTATCAGCTCTGCTCATGCTCGTCGCTTTCTCTGTAGCCACATTTCTAACGCTAGCACGTGGTTCTCAAGAACTTTTGCATTTTTACCTGATTTGTCTCATTACAGATGCTTCATACAGCAATTTTGTCTTGGGAATTTTTTTGGTCTTTTTTTTCACTTTCAGGGAGAGCTCTACCTAAGCTATCCAGTAATAATAGGAAATTAATCCTGTGTCATCATATGTAAGGATATTTCTCTTCACAGTTGGATCAAATTATCTCCACTTAGATTTTTATGTAATCTCAATGACTCTAAGTCACACCTTGAGTGATATGTACCATAGCAGAAAGAGGGAAGTTGAGCTTACTGACATCAATAAAGAATCTGAGCATAGCGGAAATCAGCTACGTAGCTACATTGGAAATCCTACGATTTCCAATGTCTTCTAATTATTGGTTTGAGAAAAATAAATAATGGAAAACCTGGATTTATCTAATACCATAATCATAATTTCTTTCTCAAAATCTTAGCTATTCTCCGAATCGATAAGTGTGAGATGTGCAGCCTTGTAAACATGGAGCTCGTAAACATCTACGAACTTTAGTCTTTATTCGTATTCGTGGTCGTTTGTTATATTGCCGGTTCTTTCGAACCCAGATAATGGGATGTTTTGTTACTGGTGTGGGCATCTAGTCGGCATATTTGTGCCGCTAGTATACCTACATCGTCGACTATCTAGATTTGAAGTCTGATAAAATAAAGGTTTCCGAATTAATCAGAGATTTGGGGGCTTCTACAAATTCAGCAGTCATAGTCGAAGACGAAATTTTTTATCAATGATATTTTTTTTGCTTCTGTGATAATCGATGCTTACTCTCTACAAAAGCACTAATTCCTAACTTGCTAAATTGCTACTTTGGTGAACAAATCAGGATGAATTCATTTTCTCTAAATTATACGTAAGCGTGAACTCATGGACAGAATTGAAAATTATTTCTAAAATTGAATTTCCCATTTTTGGTGGATTTTGAAATTTTTTGAAATTTTGGCAAATCGTAGACAAATGACAAATTTTCAAAATTGTTACATACATGTCTCTCACTTATTCATTAATTCGAGTTATGAGACTGCTCACTCCATCAAACTTGGCCAAAAGAAATTCGAGTTATACCTTCAATGACCACTGCTTCCTACGTTTTACTATAAGATTCTAGCGTCTATGAGCAGGCTATAACAATGCACTCATGAAGACTTTTCGTCTTCAAAGTGCAGGCATTCAGTAATTCATACCACCCATCAAAGGTAATAAACTTTTTGTTGTGTCGGCTGCAGATGCAGACTTAGTCGCGAACGGTCATTGATGCATTTGCGAAAAATTGACTAGCCAACAATTTCTTTTTGATATTCAGGACGACTGGTCCTGTATTAACATGTCAACGGTTCGTTTGACACACCTGCGTAAATTGTAGCGCAACACAAGGCTTGAAGGCAGCGGCTCGGCAGAATTTCGTTTTCCAGATTTTCGCCCTTGCGGGGCCTTCTCGTCATGAGAAATCCATATCTGGACTTTTCAGCGCATGAAAATCGCGAAAATGAGCTTTTTTTCAAGCTTTCCAGATCCGAATTCACTGAAGATACGCCTGAAAGCCGCGTCCCGCCTTCCCCTTTCCACGCCCCGCCCACTTCTCCATTGAACGCGGACCTAGAAAGCTTCTGAAAAAGTTCATTTTCGCCATTTTCATGGCTGAAAAGCCAGATATGGGTTTTTCATGGCGAGAAAGCCCCGAAAAGGTGAAAATCTGGAAAATGAAATTCTGCCGAGCCGCTGCCCTTAAAATATCAAAATGCGAATCGGCCTAATTAGTAAATATTCAAAGGTTAGAATAGAGTAATGGATCCAGTTTTCAAATAGCCTCGATGGTTCTCATCGTACTGCACAACCTTACGATAGTATGTGAGAAAGATGTCTTGGTCTTTGTTACATTATAGACAGAAAAGGAGATAGACTCAAAGCATCTGACACATTTTGGAAGGAGATTGAACTTTTATATAATATTTATGAACACTTATCCGCAAACACATGCATTCAATCATGCATTGTCATATTTGATAATCGATGAATCGAAGTAGGTTGAAACGATGGTCACGCTCTCGCCTATTCAGAGCACGTACCAGTTACGCCGGTTTGTGTTTTCTTTCCTCCATCGTTTGGTGCAATTTATGTAGAAAATGAATTCCATTTTTCTAGTCAAAGTGTCATTGGTTTTGATTGTAGACTGGCCAGAATTTTTTGATATTGTAATAGTTTGAAATCATTTCATGTTGATGCACCAAAGTCCCATTTTCAATGCGCAACCAAGGATTTTTTTTAAATTGTCACATGCATCATTCCCCACTGAGAGCGATTTTTGCCTTCTCATTAATTGGTTCATCAGTGAACACTCAAACATGCTGAAATTGAATTTTTACTGATCAGTGTATCGCTTGTGTATACCCGAGTCATTCCTCACTTGATATGTGAACTTGCACAATGTGCGCGGTGACAACGATACCTTATCTGAAACTCGTCAGTGGAGGCTTTTCCAGTGGCATAGACTGCGAAAATGTCCACTGTCATGTAATACATATCCCAGCAAAGCAAAATAAATAAATCGCGGTAAATCGCAAGCTCTGTCTCTAAATACCATCCAGATCCGTTCTAGCCTGAATGGACTACCATTTTTGGTGTCATGAAGGCCATAATCATCAAGATTAGTGAACACGATGTTGTGATGAGTGGCAATTTTTTTTCAGAATCCAGGCGAGTCCGCTATTACGGACTAGACTAGATATTTACAGTCGAGTAGATTTTCCGCTGAATTTAGTGTGCTTGCACTGCAGGTAAAATGCGGTAAAACTTGCGCGTGAACAAATCACGCTAATAATGCCGGCATTTTGCGCACGCAATTGACCGGCATCACAGGCGTAGCTATTTGTTCACGCACAAATTTCACCGCATTCTACCTGCAGTGCAAACCACACTATATTAAGCGAAAAATCTACTCGACTGCACAGACGAATGGTCACACACAGAGATAAGATGTCGTTGCTTCCTATCAAAATAGTTTGCACTTGAACGAGACGGGAGACGGAAAATGTATACTTGGTATAAAGTATAAGTATACTTGGTCAAACAGAGTCGGAACGTCCGCAATGGCGTCGTTCGTCTGCGTGCGACGAATCGCCTATACTTCAAATCAGGGCAATATAAAGTGGAAATTGTGGATTTGAAGGGTAATATAGTGAATCTGTACTGCTCACACTGTCTGCTCGTAAAATGGCCATTGAACCCGCACTCAAACTTTTCCCGCTTCATGGCCATTTTTCACACGCGCGTGTTGTCGGTAACGCGAAAATATTGGATTAAAGCATGTTCCAATAAGGACTGTAATCCATGACAATGTTGGCGCAGATAAAGTTGGACTTTTTTGTTTCTTCTCAGATACTGCAAGCTTTTGGCGTTCCCATTGCTAAACAAAAAAGGCCCGACTCCCATAGAAACATATGTAATGGGCTTGTTATAAGGCACTTTGTCGGCCACCACGGCCACTTTCTCAAGACAACATTTGCGTCCCAGCGCTAATGGCGGTAGTATTATGGATTCGAAACTAACTTCCATTTCCGAATGCGGAATCCATGCTTGGAACCTTTACATGTCCTATCCATTGCTCTCTCATTAAAAAATTTGGGAACAAAAGTTTTTTGCAAATTTGCACCAACCACTGTTGAATTGACGCTGCAAAAACTTTGACTTGCCTGAATTGGATTTCGGTTTTTTTCACTTCTGTGTCCGTAGATTTTAATTTGGATAGTTTTCGTTTTTTTTTTCTGATTCACTTGAACATTGTTGTATCGCATGTATCCATCAAGCATGTGGAGTATCAGCATTTTTCAGTCTACTTATTATACATTTTGATTCCTTTCTCTGCAAACTCTGTTCCTATTAGAATACATAATGGGTTAGATCTCATCAAACGTATCTTCAGTTGCTGTTACAGTGTTCATCATTTTTTTTCACTCTGCTCCACAAAATTATTTCCTTTTTCTGTCTTTGATGTCTGCAGTATTATAGTACCTACGATCCGAATTCTTACCCAATTTGATCTTAAATCTATCGCGAATTGTGAATCGTTTTGCACGGTGTAGGAATGTTGTTTCAAATTTGCTTTAATGGGGAAGAGCTTCGGTTTTTCAAGGGGTTTGGCTTCCGCTCGTTCAGTGCGTTATTTGATGCATTCTTTGCACTCTAAAGTTTTTTTTTGATAGGCGAGTCTTCTGGATTCGAAGATTCATCATGTTTTTTTTTGATCGTTAGGCTCACTATATTGCTAGGCATCATCAAATTCTTTTAATGATATATAGAAAACCATGCTAAGTGATTGAGCCTTGGTAAGAGGGATTTATAGATTAGGTTGGGCGGCGTATAATTATATCGCCATCTGTATTTTCTTTATCGCATTATTTTTTTAGGTTCGTTATTGGTAATCGCGCATAACCTGTTCGCAAACTTTTGTTTCAAACCGTTTTTCGTTTTGCCCATATTGATTGAACCGTTTCCAGTTGGATTATACGAGTGTCACAGTCCAATAAGCATTTGTTTGTACACGACGGCGTTTGTGGGCTGAATCAGAAGTGATCGAGGGACGTAATCGATCCGTTTTGGATAAAGGTTGGAAATGGTGGCGAACTCTTCGCTTGTGGCGTTGACACCTATAAAACAGAGCGCCAATCACAATGTTGTCGTCATACACAGGTAAGGTTTTCTATGTACTTTTCTCGCACTTTTAGATATGTTTCTACTTTTTGTCTTCGTTTTTTTTTTGTTCCTCATTTAGTTTTTTTTATTTACTGTGTTCAAAATCAAAGGGATAATCAAACACAGTCTCATGTCACTTTCGCTATGGCATGCTTTCTATTTCATATTTTTCCAAAAACATCTCAAGAATATTTTTTGCTAGAGTTTCGTTGAACGAAACGAAGATATTCCGAATCAAATTCTTCGATAATGAATCCTTTTTGTAATTTTTATTTAATTTTCTCTGGTTCACGGGGATGAACTTTCGCTTTATGTAGACATTCGTAAATGGTTTTCCGGATATTTACTAAAGACGATCGATCAGTATGTATATTGGGATAAATTCAAATGCAGTACCCCTTTTTTGTAGACCTTAATCAGTTCTTGTCGTGTTCTTTGTCCCATCAGATTTTCGAAAATTCTGTAGCAGACACTTTTTCATGCCTGTTTAGAGAGCAAGGACTCGATGGTGATAAACTGTTGCATGCAGCAGGAGGACCTCACACTGGCCTGATCATCAACAGGCTTTCCAAATATGTTTCTGGAGGTGATTCCTTAATTTAAAGAGCTTTCATTCCAGTCATATCATTCTAATACCATGTTCTGGTGATTGCGGTATCATACCGATCTAAAATTGTGTTTGTGTTTGTACTTCCATTACAATGAATATTTAGAGTATCGAAATAATGTGGAGCTATCTTTTTCGGTATGGCTGAGTGACGGCATCAGTAGAAAGCAGGTGATACAGAGTCCATTAAGTTGTAAGTGATCCCATAGCTGAATGATAACATTTTCTAGGAGAAACGTAGCATGAAATTTTTCATACGGGACGATGTGGAGTTGGAAGTCGGGCAGTCGGTTGTGCATAATTTCTTCAAACAGCTCATGTCCGGATTCCCTAAAGGTGGTATATTATACCATAGGTTTTTCCTAGTTTTTTAAAATCATGTTCAATGTTTAGATTATGTATCCTTTATGACTCGTGTACTGAAGCTGATGCAACATGAGTACGCTGAGATCATGCGCATTGATATGGACTTTAAGCTTGTTAGCGAAGATGAGCAAGTTGTCATCCCAGATGCCGCACAGTATGGTAAATTTCGGTGCTTGTTACCCGTTGATTTCATTACCAATGCGGGAATTTCATCAACTTTCACGTCACTTTTTTTTATCTGGCAGTAACCAAATCAATCATTTCCAGATTCTGGCTCAGAAGTGGAGGAGGTTACTGTAGGGCATGTACAAGAAGTGCTTGAGCATGCATTCCCTAATGGGCTTACTCTTCCTGTCATGGCTGATGCACTAAGGTATGCTTTACACCAATGAGGCTGAATGTAAATCAGCGAGGTATAACTCTCGTTCTTTCTTTTGAAATTAGTGAACCAGTAATAAAAGCTGCTAGATTTGCATCCGCGCCCTTTGGGACCGCCCTGCGGTTTCCCGCTGTCTGATGTTTTTTTAGTTGGCGCTATTCTTTATATATTAGAAATCTCAAAATTTCAAGTTGCGTTGGAGAAGGAGGAGCTTACCCGGAAGGGTTTTCTCTACTTGTAGAAGTAGTGGAATTAACTGTGTCACTATTTTTTCTATCATCTACTGTTTGAATGCTTCTAGATGCACTGAAGAAGAAGTGTACAAGTATCTGAAGGAATTAGAAGCCTTAGGTGTTGCTCGCATGGTCGAGGACGAATGGTTGCGGGTAGACACTCGTAATGTTGATGCTGTAGCACGAGCTCCTCAAGGTCTGCATGTTACTCAAACTTCTATTTTCTTTTCACTAATGCTTAATATGCCTCCTCATACTCTCAGGTCCTTCCGATCAACCAACCGTTGCTATTATTTCCTGTCTTTTTATTGAGAAGCAAGCTGTAGATGCACTGATTGACGACAGAACTACTGTGCACAAGGTGTGTTTCTTTTGTATGTTTTTTTTTCGCGGAAAAGTTATTATCTCTTACTTCATATGCAGAATATTCATGCCATGAGTTTGAACTCCTTTCTCCATCGTTTAAGATAGCAGTCATTTTTTCGTGCATGCTCTTTTTCGATCGGTTCGGTTTAGCGTTTCGTCACTCAACTCTTCCATATATTTCCACCACTAAACGTGTGTAAACATTTTTCAGTCTCGGTTGTCAATTCTTTTTCCATTATTCTTAGACTATGTGAGATCGTCATTTTCTCGACTTATTTCTGCTCTGATTTTCAACTTTCCATCATATTTTTTGAACCTCCTTATCTTCAAATATGTAGAGTAATAAATCTACAAATCTGCAGCATTCTGGCTTTGAATTTCCTAAGACTTCCCTTTCCTAATTGAATTTTGGATAAGTATAATCACGTGCTTCTACAACGTCTATGATGACACATTCTGCAAGTTCCGCCGGTTCTGTTTCATATGAGAAGTTTCTGTGAATCTTAATTTATATCTAAAAAAATTATGAATGAATATGAATTCTGTTCTGAATTCTTATGAATTTACCAAAATTAGAGTAAGAACATCGATGTTTTCCTGCTTCTTTCACGTTGATAGCTGATTTTCAACGAACTTACCATTCGGAAGATATTCTGCTTACTTATCAAGATATTTTGATAATTAAGATTGCCAAATATTTTCTAGATTACCTCTTTTTCATCATTTTTTTGCAATTCTAAAGCTTAGTGAAAGCTTGTTTAGTACAAATCCGGCGGAGACTCGAATGTATACACTATGGGTCGCATCGGACAGCATCGTGTTGTTGCGACAAAGCTTGCTTTGATTGGAGATACCCGTGAAGCTACGACTAGTGCGGGATCCATAACAACAAGGTGAGCGAAGTCCTTTCATCTCGGATGGGAAGGAACCAACTCAACTTTTCAGACTGTTAGGAAACTTCCAACATATCGAACATGTACTTGTTGTTGGCGTAGGTGGAGCTGTTCCCCACTTTACTGATGCAAAGCGTCATGCTCGATTGGGTCGGCTTTTGTCTTTGAAAAGAAAAGATGAATACAATATCCGTCTACTGATGGAAAACGAATTTTAGGCGATGTCATTGTGAGTGCAAGCCGACCAGACGCATATATCTTCTCTCATGACCTTATAGTCGATAGAAAAACTGAGGCGTTTTCTGGGTTCGCTGTAAGGTGTGCATACTCAGATACACTCTCGAAAGCTACAGCTACGCTAATTTACTTTACTTTTGCAGACGATGGAATCCTGTAGATCACGTGATTGAAAAGATAGTCGCCAACGGAGGTGATGAATTGCTGTCCGAATGGAATGCAGCCACAGAGGAGGGAATTCACCGGCTTCACCAAGCTGGCGGTGACAGCGATTTTGCGATGCCACCAGCTGACACAGACGTTTTGGCCTTACCTGTTGGCGGAGGCAACGTCGTTGTTGTACCGCATCCGAACCAAGGCAGTCGCAAAGGCGCTGAAGTTCATCTTGGGCCAGTAGGAGCATTGGCGAACTTCAAGCGACACATCGAAGATGGCGAAGAGGATTCTATTGGGGCGCTGCGTGCGAAATTTGCCGAGGAATTCGAAGTGCGTGCTATTGATGCAGGCTTTGATTCGGTGATCGCTGCTATCACTGGATCCCGGATCGACTCTTGGGCTATGATCAGAGGCATTGCTGATTATCAGCATGGTATGAGCCGTGCCAGCAAACTTTGGCAGGTAAGAGAACCCTTCTTTCATTTTTGACTGAGACGCATGTGTTTGATTCTAGGCTCACGCTGCTGCCCGTGCCGCTGCTATGGCCCGGGTACTTGTCGAAAGACTCCCTTCTCCTAATTGACCGAAAAATTTTTGCTTGTCTCATGTCCCAAATGCTCTTTTTATGAAACGTGTCTCTGCGTGGACCTGATGACCTTCAGTGAACCTTTTTCATGACTTGCACTGCCTATTTCCGTTGTGCTCTTCTATATACATGGTATCTCATCGCATTCCATACGCTACTGTGTTTTCGCACCTCATTAGTTTCTAGAGAAAGTCCGTGTGTGCTAATCGGCTATGAGGTGTGAATATAGGTTGTTTTTAGTTGAGGCAACTTACTCCGGTGATCCTCGGTTGTTTCTCTTCTCGTCTTCGTTGTGTTTTCTTTTCTAACACAATTCCTCATTCAATCATCGACACTTACGAGTTTTCGATGTTTCTGGCCCAACGCTGTGTATGACTGCCTATTTTTTTCCTAGAAAATGGCATTTTATTTATTGTCGATGTCGCATTCAAATTACCTTTGAATGTGCAACACTTTTTGCCGATTAGGACTCCATTGTGTTAATCGTTTGATAGTAGTAAATAATGCTTAAATAATAAATTTCACGCTTATCGGGATATCTCTTCTTTAGTTCATCAATCCTCTATGCGAGTGGTTCCGTTAGTAGGTGATATCCGAACTCGCTGTGTTGCCAGTCCTATCTTGTCCCATCAGAATGTGAACTACTGCGTAAACTCTAGGACACCCTCAGGAATCAAGATCAAAAGGATGTCAGAGTGATTTTTTGCTGCCGATAACCACCGTAAACATAATCGCGATACTTTACTAAATAGAATAGAGTACCATCTAATTGAGTATCAGTTAAACAGGCTGCACCAACAGTCAACGAAACCCATGGTTCCAAATATTGAGTTACCTAAATAAGCTAATCTTGCACATGTTCAGAATCATCTCTAATATGGTCCTCAGCATTTTTTTTTCAGTACAAAATACTAAACCATCTTGGCTAATCAGAAACCCACATCAAATATCCAATAATAGAGTTAGAAGTGCGCCCAAAATCTCTATTGCATTTCCAGCTTCAATTACTTCAGCAACGATTACTCCTCAGAATGAAGCCGAATACTCTTCATTTGTAAACCGCAGATTAGAGCTAGTGCATCCTATTTAGGTCATACGCCAAAACTTCCTCGGTGACAGAAATAAGGGGGTATGACACAAGCTCTAAAAAAGCGCTGCTGCCACTGCTTCATTTGCTTTTACATAGAATTTCTAGTAGCTGACATTTTGTAATCAGCATGTCAGATAACCACTATGAACCTAGCTAGCTTCAGCGAATTCTGAGGCCTTATATATTGGGCCACCAAGTGAAATGTTCATTTTCAAATTAACTTTGTCAAAGGTAAGTTAATCAACTCCTTTTGCACTTGATGCAAATTCTACTCCTTTTTCGCTTATGTGACGAATTCCACTTCACAAAACTCGCAAACTATAGATTAGGAGCTAATCAAAATCTTGTCTATTTCATTATTCACTTTCAATGGTTGTGCTTCCAGCCATGGGTGCAATAGGGGGAGTAGGGTCCTCTTCAGGTCAAGGGGTTTCGGCTATATTGGTCCTTGAAAGTGAAAGAGGTGACACGGTCAAGCGTGGGGTGTGGCATGCCACACCTGGGGGATCGTACTGAGGAATCAGGGAGGGGGGGGGGGTCGTTATCAAGGCGTCCGCTGTTCGCATAACATGACATTCGGTAACAATGTCAAACAGGGTTTAGCGTGTTGATGCGAACCGGGACCCCCATTCACGACCCCCCCCCCCCTTGAAGGTACCCATCCGTACGACCCCCGCCCCATCTACCCCCCCTCCCCCCCATTTACCCCTTACCTCCTCTGCCCACATTCCTCGCGGTAACCTGCATAAACGAATGTCAATCTCAAAAAACATCTGCGTGGAACTTCAGTGAGGTTTCGGAAGCAGAATTTCTAGGCCAATGGGTGCACCCAGCATGTGTAGCGCACAAACACACCTACAATAGTGTTTGAGATTCTGCAAGTTTTTTTTTTTTTGAATTTTCAGGCATACTTCAGGCCAGCAAATTCGGTTCCCGTGTGCGACACAAATCTTTGCACGGAGAAAAAAAATGACATTCTTGAACTACAAAAAGATGTTTTCGACTAAGAAGCTTACTTTCTACTTCTTGCACAGTTTTTCCTGCTTCCTGCGAAAAAAAAACCGCTTTAGCGCCATCCAGAACGATGTCAAAAACGTGCATGAGCACGGTAGTTTGAAAATTTGTGACTAACGCTAGGAAAAGAGGCTGCAGTGGACAGGTTGTGTAGTATCGTGCCCAGACTTCCGTGGAAAAAGTTTCAGTTATTGAGGAGCAGTGAGCTCGGAAAAATCTAGATGCGATCGCAAATTTAGATGCGATCCTAAAAATCAAAAACTGGGATTTTAAGCTTGAATTTTGTGACTCATGGGAGAAGTTATGAAACGGCCTGAAATTTTTAGGATAGAAAGTAGGAGGATGGCCTCGTATTACAGCAAAAATGCAGCCAAGAAGCTTCCATAGCTTCGGAAAAATTCAGATGCGACCCAGCGACCTCCCTTTTGTCATTTTTTGCCACCATACATAAAATCATGAGAAAATCCGAAGGCCATAAAGTAGGACCAAATTTTGCACAAATGTAGTAGAGCACCTCTAAAGTACACATAAATTGCAAGGACCGTATGAAAAGATTTACAAACACATTTACAAATTATTGATGATTAGCCTTGATAGAGATACGCGCTTTTGTCGAGTGTGCGGGTCTTCAGTGAGCCTTCGGAAGCAGGATGTCTACACCAATCGGTACATCCAACATCTTCATCACACATACAAGTCTTTAGTAGCATTTGAGCTTCTAAAAGTGTTTATTTTTTGCTTTTTGCCATGCCAGCAGGGTTCGATCCCCGTTTGCGGCTATATTTGCGGGAGAAATAGTGATTCCCATAAAAAAATGAACTAAGTCATAATCTTTCAAAAATGCAGCAAATGAAGCAAATTTCTACATTTTCAAATGTTTTCAAATTATTGTTCACGCTTTTATTTGATACATTGGACACGGCATTCCATGAATTTATTGTTAAGAACATGCAATAATTATTTGCCATCCGACTTCCTTCCATGCTTACGTTTTTTTTATCCAAACTACCTCCTTTTACGACCCTCCCCCCCCCTCACCGTGGGTACCCCGCTTAAGACCCCCAGTTGCGACAGTCGCATCACACGCTTGACCCTGATGTCAAATAGGCCCGGCATGCAAAACTAGCACATTGATGTTTGACCCATTATCGTATACGTACAGTAAGCATAATTAAAGATCTATAAAGCATGAAAGCAATGTTTTGTGATTTGCAAGTAAAATAACCTCTGTGGCCCAAGTTTCAGCGAATTCTGAGGTGTCCAATTACAGGACCTAAGTGAGATTGTCGTTTTCAGATATGTCACTTTGTTTCAAAGGTAAGTTAACTCTTCTTTTTACGCTTAATACAAAGAACTACTACTTTTTTGCTCACATTAGGAATCCCACTTCAAATGACCTCCAAATAAAGGAATCAAAAGCAAACCAAAACCTCGTCTGTTCCATTTTTCCTTTTCAATATCTCAGGCTAGAGAAGACCAATCAGGCTTAAATCACTTTAATGTAGATTACGAGGTTTAAGCTATCGAATATATACATTCTTGTCGCCTTCCCTTGCGATTCACGTAGTAGCGCAGACTTAGCGTGTTACCGTATCCCAATATTTTCGCAGTATTTTACCAGTATTTTACATTTGCACAGGTAACGAAAAACGATTATATTTTGCTCTTGAAGAAACGTTTTCATGTAAAATTTCTGCTATATAAAGAAGAAGGTTAAGCAGTAACAATGATATAAAAAAAACGCAGCTATTTGATCTGTTTGAAGGTAAGTTAATGGGGTGTGGCACCACCCTAAAAAGCTGTGGCATCCACAGCTTTTTAGGGGTGGTGAAACACCCCATTGAGTATACCATAAGAACTTATTAGCGAACTGCATTCATATGAATCGATAGCCTAAACCTCGTGAAATTCATAGAAGTAAATTGAGCCTGATTCGTCTTCTTAGCTCTTAGCAATATTTGGTGAAAATACAGCCATTAAAAGCGAAAAATAGGAAAAACAAGATTTCGGTTGGCTTCTAATTCCAAAGTTAGGAGGTCTTTTGAAACGAGATTTCTGAAATGGCCAAAGAAGGAGTAGTGCTTTGTCTTGAATGCAAAAACAGCTAGCTAATTCACCTTTGAAACAATATTAATCATGCTGGAAAATGGCGATTTCACTTAGGTGACCCAGTATCTTGAAACTTCAGAATTCGCTCAAACATTGTCTATAGGGGTTAATTGACATGCTAACTGTGGAGATGTTGCACATTATGTTTGATAGGGCCTTCAAGTAATGCTATCTTAGGTATTTAGTTTAGGGGGTCTTATTGAGACAGCAATAAGAGGGGGGGGGGAGGGGTCGTAACCCGCGATCGTGTGCCACACCTCTTGCTTGACCCTTGAGGTGACTGAGCGCTTACCTACCGAGCGGGACTAGGGCTGAAAACGAGGAAAACAAGTGGTGCAGAAGTTTAAAGGCACTATCTCACCAAAATTTGGTTGCCGAGATCTTCGCATATTGCACGTTTCTTTCCTGTCTAACTCAGTGCGGGTTCAAAATCGCTTAAAATGCACGAAACCCCGTTTGAAAGCCCCGTGGAAGCAACGCAGACAAGTTGTGCCTTCGTCTAACCTTCGCCACAGTGGCATGAGCATCCTTGGAGGTGGAAGCCAAGTGGAGGAGCATGTTGGGACGCGTAAGGGGGACACCGAAAGCGTCGGACGTGCGGGCCAAATCGCGCCTTGCGGGGCCCTGAGGACAAAGTTCGGTACTTTTCCGTTATCCGGACCCATTTTTTTCAAAGAAGGACATTTCTTCTATTCCTGTGCCATAATTGGTCCCAAGTCTAAAGAAAGGAGTATCAACCTTCTGCCATGTGTCAAAAAAATTCGACATGCCGCATGTTATGTTTGCATTTTCAACAAGTTTTACCAAGGGTTTGTGTTGCACCTAACGACGTAAGTTCAACCTGTGTTTTAGTCAACAATGACCCATTTTTAACTAAACAATTTCAGAAATAAACATTGTTATAATAACAACGTCACCCTGTTATCATTGAATAGATTGGGACCTGCCCAGAATAAAAAAGCGCGCTAGTTCCATTATCTAAACGGCGAAACAAGCAGCAGCGAAAACTGCGAGCCATCATTTATAGTCTTTCCTGGATAAATTCGCGTGGCGGAAAGTTTGAAAAGGACCACAATTTTGAATTATTACTGAAAACAATCAGAATGTTCTGCGATGAGTTCAGACAGTTTTGTTCTTATAAAAAACAGTTGAGAGGCTTTTTAGGTGGTCACAAATGCTCTTTCTTCACCGGAAATGATCTTGAAAAAACAATTCAAAATAGACTGAAACGTGTCAGTTTTTTCCTGCACATGACGGGGGAGACAGTCTTCTTTAATCTATGAGAAATTGCTCTTAAACTACAGAACGTATTTTATGGGAG